GAGATCCAACCAGTCCACCCTAAAGGAGATCAGTCCTGGGTGTTCATTGGAAGGACTGACGCTGAAGCTGAAACTCCAATAGTTTGGCCCCCTCATGTAAGGTGTTGACTCATTGGAAAAGACCCTGCTGCTGGAAGGGATTGGGGGCAGGAGGAGAAGGGGACGACAGAGAATGAGATGGCTGGATGGCATCACCGACTGGATGGGCATGAGTTTGAGTAAACTCTGGGAGTTGGTGATGGACAGGGAGGCCTGGCGTGCTGCGATTCATGGGGTCGCAAAGAGTCGGACACAACTGAGCAACTGAACTGAACTGATATTTTAATGGAGAAAGAATGGACTGTTCAATAAATGGTCATGAGATAGAAGAATAAAGTGTCACCTGCTTGTCACTGCAAATCTTAGCATTAAAAATCAAATGGCAGCACCCCTATGCTTTTCCTCAAGATTTTCCATGACTCTCTAACCATGTTACTGCAAAAATTATGTAAATGCATAGTGAGATGGTTCCAACATAAATCTATATCTTAAATACAAAAAATAAAAACACATGTCAGAGACACCATTATGCAGGGGCCAGTTAATTGAGGCCTTAAATGCATACTAAGATATTTGAACTTTATCCAGAGGACATTGGGAAACCTTGGGTAGGGATAGGGGTGGAGGTGGTTATTAAACAGGGAGAGGTCAGATTGTGGAGCTATATGGTTTTGTGCCAAGGTGAGAAGATGTGATGGCAGCATAAATAGTGGGAAATGTGAGGATTTTCGAGTTTTAAGCTGTAAAATCAATATGGCTTAGTGAGTGATTACATGTGACAGCCACAGAAGAGAAGTATGGGAAGTTGATAAGGACAATTTCTGACAAATAATTGATGGCATCTGCTGAGATAAGGAACACTCTAGGAGGACTGTTTGGGCATACTTATGTTAAAATAACTGGCCATGTTAAGTTAGTGGTATCTTAGAAGCATGCATCTGGTAGAACTTTGCAAGCATGCTATGTTTTTTATGTAAGTATAAAATTTAATGCATAAATTTATATGAGGTCTAATAAATATATAAACTTGTGAAATAGCAGCAAGTAAAAATGCAGAAATTAAGACGTTGCATTTTTATTACCCAAATCACCACTATATTACCATGTTGCATATTTCTCCATATTTTTTCTATTCATAAATGTACATATCTATTTTCTTCTTTACTGACTGCAGTCATTTTGCATAAGCTGTTTTGTAGTTTACCCTTTTTTCAGCCATTGACTTCCACTTTTCCATTTCAGTGGACCTCTAACTTGCAGTGCATTTTACACAATAATACTCTTTACAGCTGGTTTGTATGTACAAATTTTCAAATTAGGTCCATATGTGGTATTAGTTAGACCATCCCTTTCTCCCCTGATTATGATGTTGACCTACTAGAGAGACCAGGCCAGGCCATTTTCCTGCAGAATCCCCTCCTTGGATTTACTTATGTGCTTTCCTGCTGTGTTGTTTAGCTCTCCTATTTCTTATAAACAGAAGTTTTACCTAAAAGATGGCTTGAGTTATATTTGAAACTAGGATGCATCTTGGGCTTCCTAGGTGGCACTAGTGGTAAAGAACCCACTTGCAGTGCAGAACACTTCAGAAACACAGGTTCAATCACTGGGTCTGGAAGATCGCCTGGAGGAGGGCATAGCAACCCACTCCAGTATTCTTGCCTGGAGAATCCCACTGACAGAAGAGCCTTGGCGGTCTACAGTTCATAGGGTCACAAAGAGTTGGACATGACTAAAGCAACTTAGCTCGCACGCAGTATTCATCTTAAGTAAGGCGATACAACATAAATTAATCTGCATCAGATGATGTATAATATCTGGTTGGCCCATCACTCTTCTTTTTTTCTGAATTGAAATTTTTGTTTTTTTAAACTTTTAATTTTGTATTGGGGGTGAGTGTGTTAGTCACATGGTTGTGTCCGACTCTTTCTGACCACATGAACTATAGCTCCTCTGTCCTAGCCAATTAACAATGTTGTGATAGTTTGAAGTGAATAGCAAAGGGGTTCAGCCGTGCATTGCCCCATCACTCTTGATGCTGAGATTATTCCCTTGATTAAGGGCAATGACAGCCAAAGCCTACTCTTGAAAGCCTTTCCACTAAGAAGTAATCTAGTGTGTTATTATTTTGGCATTATACAAATGCTGTTTCCTTTCAACCATTTACTTAGTGATGAGCTCAAATTAATAATCCTTGCCTCACTCAATATTTTCATTAGAGGTTGCAAAATGACGTTTTTCAAGTTCTCTCATTCTTAGCTGGTCATCCTATATAGAGTTTTTCCTCATCAGCTGAGCTGTTCAGTTAACCTACAATGCATTTCCGACTGAAAAGTTAGGGAAATGCCAGCTTTCTCCCTTTGCCAATTTTCACAGTAAAGAATTGTTTAAAAGGGCAATCTCAAATGGTAACAAATGAGATTTTTTTCAGTCCTGTTTTTTAAGTAGTATTGTGGACTTAACAGAGTTTTCATTAATTCATTGTTTCAATCCTATATAATCCTTTGTTTTGTTTTGATTTTTCAAATTATCATGACTCTTGGCCAGTTGTGGGCAGATTTTTAATCTGGATCAAGAGAGTCCTCAGTAGTGGTTCAAGTCATAGGAATGGGTAATATTGCCTGAGAAGAGTGTACAGGGTAAAAGCTAAGCAGCCCAGGTTAGTGACTTAAGTAGCTTCGATAATTTATAGGAATAATCCTTAATATATGAATTTGTGAGTTTTTTTCTTTGCAATTTTTCTTCAGTCTTTTATACTATTTTCATGAAATAACTAAAAATTACCAATTAATGCTTTGGAAATCTTTAGTATTCTAATGGGATAATGAACTGCTACTTTTAATAACTTATTCCATCTGTAATCAATAACCACAGGCTGTTTTGAATCCTTCTAGTCACTCTTGGAGGCCCATGATATTGTGGCATCAAAGTGTTACGAGTCACCTCCATCAAGCCCGGAAATGAATAATTCTTCTGTCAATAATCAGTTATTACCAGTAGATGCCATTCGTATTCTTGGTATTCACAAAAGGGCTGGGGAACCACTGGTGAGTTGATCAGTCAGTGCCTTCTTAAATCTGAAATCTTACATACTTGTGACTGAGTCACTACTCTATCTCATTTTTTTCTTCCATAATTTATATCATTATGAAAACTTTACTTGTGTTTGTTTCATCAGTCTTTTTTGGCTTGTGTATAAAATACACAGGTGATACTCTCAACTTGATTTAGCATGCAGAATTAAACCAAAATTAAACTGAAATAGAGGAGAGAAGTTTGCCAATGAGTAGAAAACATTTCAGAGGATAACTATTTTTTTCCTATACCCTTTGAAGAAATGAACTGAGGTTGCTTGCTAATTATATATAGTAGCAAAATGCAGAAGAACATTGTTATTAAAAATTGAAAACATTGGTAGGATTCGGTAAGTAATGTTTACAGTTTTGTGCTAACATGGCATTTCCGGGCTCTGACTATGAGAACAGTGAAGTGAGAGGAGAAGACACCAGGAACAAGGCCATCAGAATACACAAATGCATTGCTTGCTCCTTTGAGCTTCCTCATATCTTGTGCAGTGCAGCCTGAGATGTGTTTAATTTTCAAGGTTAGTCTTGCCATGGAAGTCCCTTTTTTAAGGGATGGTGTATGTTGTCACAATTGTGCATGGTTTCATGAGATTGGAGTATTGAGTTATGAGTGAATGTGGGAAAAGTAGGAATGATTTACCCACTTATTTTTAGAATTGTTTTCTTATATATATACTCATGAATATTTATGATTTCTTCCTAACAACCTGAAATCAGTAATTCCATTCCTTATTTTCTTCAGGGTGTAACATTTAGGGTTGAAAATAATGATCTGGTAATCGCCCGAATCCTCCATGGAGGGATGATAGACCGTCAAGGTCTGCTTCATGTGGGAGATATCATTAAAGAAGTCAATGGCCATGAAGTTGGGAACAACCCAAAGGAATTACAAGAATTACTGAAAAATATTAGTGGAAGTGTCACCCTGAAAATTTTACCAAGCTATAGAGATACCATTATTCCTCAGCAGGTTAGTAATAAAATTCTTGCTAATACTTTTTTCCTTTAATCACACTGTTGGATATAACCACCAGTTGCTACTTTTTTGCTTAAGAGAAGAGAAAAAATGGTCTGGTTTAATTGTTCTAAAGTGCCTTATTTCGTCACGGGTGAATTCTTGGAATTTTTAAACAATGTTATCTTACTATTAAAAGGAATTTACTTGAGAAACCTCTCTGTGAATACCATGAACCCTCTATTCAATTCAGTCATCAGTTGTATCATCTGATTCTTTGCTACCCCATGGACTGCAGCACTTAATATGCTGTCTAGGTTGGTCATAGCTTTTCTTCCAAGGAGCAAGCGTCTTTTAATTTCATGGTTGCAGTTACCATCTGCAGTAATTTTGGAGCCCCCAAAAATAAAGTCTCTCACTGTTTCCATTGTTTCCCCATCTATTTGTCATGAAGTGATGGGACAGGATGCCATGATCTTAGTTTTTCAAATGTTGAGTTTTAATCCAACTTTTTGACTTAAACTCACCTTGTGCAATGATTTTTGGACCCTAGCATTTCAGTAACCTACAGCTGATATGAGAAAAACCTTAAAGACTTTTTGTCATTAATTAGCAAACAGTTTTGACACATGTCGTGTTCCAGGCCCTGTGAGGAAAATAAGCATGTAGTCCTGATCACCTCTAGCTTAGTGTTCTAGTGATGAAACAGAGAATGAAGCCAGAAAGAGAGAATGGGTCCAAATTGAAAAGAATCTTGAACACCTGGTTTGTACCATTTGCTCTATGTTTTATAACTGATTTTTAGGTAAAACAGATTATTAAGCATGGCAGTGTTTTAATGACAGTGGTCACTAACCTCATTATGTTGAGTGAATTTAAAAAAGGAGAGAGATGAGATTGTTTAGCCAGGAAGCAGATTTTTGAAAGTGTGAGGTAATTTGTGAAAGGCAGTTCTTATGAAAGGCTGTGATGACTGCTTTGTTTCAAATAACTGTGCCACCACCTACTAGCTTATTCTCTGTCTTCGTTTTCTCATCTGTATAGGTGAGTATTTCTTTTCTCAAAAGATTACTGTAAGGATCAAATAGGTTAATTCAGCAGCTCCTGTCACATCTGCATACCAGCCCATAGCTGCTGCTATTGTGATGATGGTAATGAGGTGGTGGTGTGATTCCAAAGAAATGATAAAGAAGGAAAAAGTGATGAGATAATTGCAAAGGAACAGTTGACACTTATGATAAGCATGTTGAAACTTGAGAGGGTTTTCAAATCTAGATAATGTAGATATAGGAAATATTCATCAATGTTTTAGATGCATTTAATTATTTAGGTTTTCAAGAAGTTTGTTCCAAGTATGAGTAAAACTGCAGGTCTTTTACATAAGATGCTGCCACTATACTTATTTTAATAGTGTTAATATAATCATTTAAAAGACTAGTATGTCTAGTTCTGTAAAAGTCTTTGAAATAACCTGTGTTGAATACCTGCTTTATATTGTTCTTTGGGGGAGTAAGAATAGCCAGTCATGAATTTTAGCATGTAAATTGGATTTCTGAAAATACACAGGCTTGTAGTGAACTTTCATTTAAATGAAGGATAGAGACCTTGTCTTTTCAAGGAAAAGACTGATAAGAGAAATGGCATTAGAAATTAGACATTTTAAATAGCTAATGTCCCTCAGACTATCTTTATTCCTCAGTTGGCACCTAAGTAGATTGGAAAAGTAGAACTTAAGATTTATTTATTTTTTAAAAATTATACATTATTTGTAATTGGGATGGGGAATACATGTAAATCCATGGCTGATTCATGTCAATGTATGACAAAACCCACTACAATATTGTAAAGTAATTAGCCTCCAACTAATAAAAATAAATGAAGAAAAAAAAATTATACATTATTTGTGATAGTTAGACTTTTCTTTTTAACCCACTGTAGTTCAAACTTCAGGATTCCTACCAGCTCACCATGACTATAATGGACTATTTTATTTTATAATGACTATTTTATGGAAAATTCTTTCTAATATCAATAGTGAGGGCTTTGGTTCAAATCCCTTTGTAAAATCTGCACCTGGTGAATGGTCTGAATGATGTGAAATGCAAGGATATTTAGCCCTGTCTTAGACATATATTTTTCTCCATCTTGTGCCTTCTCAAAATCTGCTTTTTATTTAGCCTTCAGAACTGGGAGAAGGCATTGAAATAGGGACGGTCTAACCTTCCATACAAGCCTGAGCCGATCTCAGACCTGTCTTACCATAAAAAAAAAAGAAGGGACTAACATGAAGATTTCCAACAGAAGAGATAAAACACACCCAAACTGGGACATTTTTAAAGTGAAAGGGGGAATAATTACTAATTATACTGGAATAGGACTGTCCTGGGCACACTGTGCTCCTCTTATGAGAGACACTAATGGAAAGCAAGGGCTTTTAGCTTCTCCAGTTCTTCCGCTCTTTGACTAACTGGAAGCTCCACCAGCTCTATCTCTTAACTGCTGTGACAGCAGGTGGAAACCAGGAGGTCTTCATACCAGGGTTGTGTTTTTCAAAGCATGGTCAGTAGATCATCTTTATCAATATCATTTGAGGTGCTTATTAAAAATTCAAAATCTTTCATGAGACCAGAAGATCTATATTTTTAAATTTGAAGACCAGGAGGGGTTAGAAATTGCAGCTAATTCTGAAGTTCTCTAGCTTACGTGTATATAGGTTTCCAAAGACTGTTTAAAACTCCATTTCTTTATTTAAGGCAAAATTAATGGGAATTCTCTCTTTAAGGCCATTATGACCCACATAACAAAAATATTATGAGAAGTTTGTTTTATTTCATTCAAGGATGTATGTTAGAATTCTCAACAATGTATTAGCAAATGAAATTTAATGATATATAAAAAAGATAATGTGTCCAAGCTAGGAAGGTTTCATGTTAGAAAGCTCATATATGTAACCAAACAAATTAACAGATTAAAGAAGAAAAATATAAGTAGAGAATTTGATAAAATTCAGGACCTATTCATGATTTTTTAAATAAGATTAGTAAATTGGGAACAGGAAAGAACCTCCTTAATCTTATTTTTTAAAAAAACTAAAACAAACATTATTCCCAATAGTTGACTGTTAGAAGCCATTTCTCTTTAAAAATCAGGAACAGAACTTTAAGCTGGTCTTCCTGAGATTACTTGAGTGCCAAGCCCAGGGCCCCTGTGAAGTCCCACTTCTACTCCAAGATAGAAAAAACCCACCATAAAGAGAAACTTGCCAAACTTCAGGCATACTTGTGCATTGGTAAAAAGGAACCACCCTCAGATGATATATCAAATATCTGTTATAACAGATGATAAAAAAAATCTTCAGTTCTCTTTTAAAAAACTCAGAATAAACATTATCTCTGATTTTAAAGAGGTAAGTATATTTGCAAACCAGTAAGTAATGATTCATTTTAACAATCCTGATGCTCAGACATTTCTGGCAGCAGTCCATTACCAGCTGTGCTGAGACAAAGCTCCTGACAGAAAGGCCACCCGAATCTTAGACCAGCTTGGTGTCAACAAGCTTTCAGGATCCTGGCAGAAGCTGGGTGGGAAGCCCCACTTGCTACTGGGAAGGAAAGTGATCTTGTTCAGAATTTTGATGAGGCTTCCAACAGTGAGGCAAACAGAACTTCTTTTCTTAAAAAAAGAAAGAAACTTCAAGAATGTTGACTTCTAAAAAATTTTGTTTAGGATGTAGTTAAATGTAGAAACCTGTAGTATTTTAAGTTCTGAGGTTCTTGGACACTGCTGTGTTTTAAATTTTTGTTTGTACACAACTATTTGTTTACAGTTATAAGCCAAAGAAGCCAGAACTTAAAGTTTAAAACAAGGGTTAATAATGTCATTGCCTAGTTAAAAAAATTAAAACTAGAGAAGGATGTTCATTAGTACCATTTATGTTCATATTTTATGGAAAATTCCATAAGCACAAGAAGACAAATAATTATGAAAGCAGAAGATTTGGAAAGAACATAAAACGTTATTTTCAGATAATATTTTTTTAACTGAAAGCCTCCCTGAACTGTAAATTACTAGAAATAATTTAACAGAATGCTTTAAAATAAGATTAATATACAAAAGTCAGTTTCATTTCTATATGCCATCAGCAGACATCTATAAATGTAACTAAGACATCATTTATAATAGAGAATGTAACATTTATGTCTAGAAATAACCTAATAAAAATATTCACCTCCATGTGCAAAAAAATTAAGATCTAAATAGATATATCATGTTTATGTACAGGAAAACAGTAATATAAAGATATCAATTTTCCTTGAATTGACTTGTAGATTCAGTTAAATTCCAATGAAAATTTCAGTAAGATTTTTTCATGGTATTTGGTAAGATGCATAGCTAAGACACTTGAGGCAGAAAAGCAGAAATAGGGGCTTATTATTAATGTGTAGGAATTAAGAGATGTGGTATTGGCATAGGATTAGACAGAATGAGCAGTGGAAGAGAGTGTTCAGAAAGAGATCTACACATATATGTGACTTTGATATCTCACAGAGCTGATATGTCTTTCAGTGAGAAAAAGACTATTCAGTGGAACTGTTAATTCATAGGGATAATACGTGAAAATGTGTTCCTATTTTACTCTCCGTACACTAATGGTCAGTAAACACGCGAAGAGATATTTAAAATCACAATGTGAGATAACCATTTTATACCATTCAGTTGCAAAAAAATGTAGATGTGAAGCTAGACTCTCTCTTCTACATTGCTGGTGGCAATGTAAATTGGTATAACCACTTTGGGGGGCAAAAGGTTTAGCATTATCAAGGTTGAAAGTTTCCACATACTAAGACACATAATTTTTTAGAGCAATACGTGTGTAGCTGGCAACATGTTGATAAGCATGTCAGTTCCCCAAAAGAGCACATGCATAGAGCATAATACTATCTTTTTAAAGTTTTAAATAGCTGTATATTTTTGCAGATTACATATAGGTCTAATAAAACTTACAAAAAGAAAAG